AGTTGTTCGTTTATGAAATAAGGTCAGACCTAGTAATCTGATGTTGTTTTCAGGCGAGCCTTGACAGAGCCTTGCAGGGCCTGCATTAACTTTTACAGGTACACCAGGATTTATACCTGAAAACATTACATTTAAAAACAGACGAACCGGATGTTCTGCATAGACGAACAGGACAGTGGTTTGAAATAATATGCAATACCTTTTAATTCAAAACCATTGATGAAACAAATTGATAAGTGGGGTGAAAGCGTTCATAAACGTAATATACATCAGCGTGTGACAACATGGGTAAACACACGTCAGAGAGATGACGTATACTGTAAATCACTAATTTTCGTGGATTTTAATTTCATTGATGTCGTGAGTAAATCTTTATCCACAAATTCATAGGTCCACAAAGTGATTACAAGTTAGATATAAAGCTATTCTCCGTTTGAGTGGGAACTCATAATCCATGAATTCATGTACTCACGAAATGGTGTACATGTTTTGTCAGGATACCATGAAATTTGGGGCCCATGAAAAATATCTGATTTCACAGTTATACTCTTGGGTATATTCCTTTGGCCCAGGGTGTGTATATTCCTTTGGCCCAGGGTATATAATAAGATTGTTTCTATCAAGCAGTATCCCTTACATACTTACACGAGTGTTGGCCTGTTGACTGACAGTGCTGTCGCCGCAGGGAAACAGAACTCTCCACTCTACAAAAAACATCATTAAGCTCAGATTAAAACCTCTCTATGCTATAAATTACAAAATTTATTTTAAGTTGCCAATCAGATACAGTATTTAAATATTTTCTGCAAGTAATTGTGTGAACACGTACATTTCTACGACAGCATCGTCCCACATTGGTAGAACAGTCCCCGCGCCGAGCAAACACTCCAGGATAACGTTCAACCTCCTCAGCAATTCCTCCCTACAAACAAAATTACATATTTACATTTCAAATGTTCTTGCCTTATGAGAAAAATTGGAAAATTTCACACACAAATTTGTTGCCCCTTTGGGCCCTCAAAAGAAAGGGACAATTTTAACAGGGCAAAAATATCATATAAATGTAACAGTAAAGTTATAAAGAGTGATTTCAACAATGAGGGACTTTGAATAAAAGCTGACAAACACTCTTAGACCCGATGGCTGACCATGGCTGGTCCACTTTATAAAGCTGTGAGTGTGAGATATGTCCAGTCGTTACCTGTTCATTTTATTGTCTGCTGTTACAGTCCTGATGGCCTCCAGCTCTGGCTTGAGGATGGTCTGGAGAATCTCGGAGGCAAACTTCATCTCTTCATCATTAGGTACATGCCATTTCATCTGAAGGTCGTCGATGTCACCGGGCATTGCCCAGTCCTACAAACACAAAACATACAAACTTGATCAAGTTTGGATTTTGCTTGAAGGACGTATGCTATCATACTGTGATGTGGAGACTTAAGGTTGTATGCTACCTTACTGTGACATGGAGACTT